TACCCACTGCAAGCTTCATAGCCATGTTCTTTATCCCATTTTCTAGGTCATCCTCTGTAAAAATATCAAGCAACTGTGGGTGCAAAGTGGGTCTTGTCCCTTCAGCAGTTAAATCGGTGGTAAACAATATTTGAGCATAGTTCTGCAAACATTTTCTACTCCTTTATTGTAGTTTGTCCAGACTGTAACTGAACCATGGGAAACAGTGACAGAAGACATCGACTACCTCTCATCCAACTTGGAGATTTATGATCTTCCTAGAGAAGTTTAACAAATTAACACAATCTTTCTGACAAATCTGCACTGTTTGTAATTTTATCATTTATATAGAGATGCTTACATGTATTGCTTGCAACATTTTATTTTTCGCTAATTCAATTTAAGCTGACTTTTCTGACATAGCCCCACTTCTCTTTTTTTTTCTCTTCTTTTTTTCCTCACATCTTTTCTTCTTCGTCACATCATGACTTAGTGAAATTGTTCTTACTTTGCTGTACTGTTTCCCTGTACAGGACTATTTCTGTTTGATGCTGTTAATGTTGGTCCTCACAGAGCAGTTGCTGTCTCTGCCACTGCTACTAAACTTCCAGAAACTCAATGCCTGCATGTTGTGATTCTTCCTCCATCCTTTTGAAGGGATTATGGACTCTTTTCACTGAGTCATCTTTCACCATCAGCGCTGCAGCCAGCTCCTTCCTGCTTGTGAGGATCATCCTTTGGAGACCCCTCTGCTACTTGTCTTTTCTGTCATCCAAAATAAGATATCTGGCTCATGTTCTCAGGGAGAGCTAGGCAGTCTAAGTTCTCTTCTAGCTGTAGCTGTCTCACTTGTTAAGAAACAAGTTATCTTCAGATTGCTGCTTTGAATGATTTTGCCCATTGCTCATCCAGGTCTTGCTGTACAAGCTTTGAAGCTTGTAGCAGCTTTCCCCTATGAAAGTACATGTATGCTTGTCCCTTCTGCCACCACATGAAGATTGCTTACAGCACATCAGCCAGGCTCCCAGGGCAAGGGCTTCAACATGTTTTGCCAAAGTCTTTCTCTTATCTGTTCTTACAGGGCAAGCCTTTTATATTAGTAGGCTAATTGATGCCACTGTAAGACAGAGACAACAACGTGAGGTGATCTAATACATTCACCACCCTCTTCTCTCACAACAGCTGCTTTCAGGACTCAGGATGTCATTTGGACCAACTCCTGTCTGATGCCTGGCAGTGCTATCATACTGAGCCAAGGGCCTTCCCCACCTTTCTCCCAACAGCCACAGCATGTCCCCCTCAGCCATTCCCATTTCCTAATTCCCCCTCACACTCCTCCTCCAGCAGCTGCTCTGAGTTCTGCTTCCACCAGCACAGAGCCCTCTGCTTGTCAACACTAGAAGAGAAATTGCCTTGTCCTGTTTTTGCGAACAGCAAAATAAGGCTTGGCCCATACTACTGAGGATACAGAGGGATCAAGTTCTGACTGTGTGAATTATTCCACAACTCTGTCACATTAAGTAAATCATCATTTTGGACTTTTATTAAAATTTCACTATTTCTGTTTATTTGTCTGATTTCTTGTGCCAGTTAACAAGCATCTTAAGATGACCTGCTGTCCTCTTCCTTATTGTTTCCAGTGTAGTAATGAAGTAAATGTACACCTTAGCATTGTATGCACTTACCTGGTTCACTTTGAATCATACTAGTAGGCTTAATGCATCTGTTCTGTATCTTATAAAATGCTTTTCTCCCTAGATTAGTAAGCTGATGTGTAAAATTGCCCACTTCTTTTATTTGTGAAGTAAACTTTGCTCGTTGGCTTTTGGAACAACAGCTCATCTCCAGAAAAACCAAAAACATGGTTGCCAACACTAGAATTAAAACTAGAATTGTCTACATGGTGCCTGCAACCCTGCCAGTGCCTTGACTGCAGAGAGCGGTGAGAACATTTTGTTCCCACATCTGTGCCCTGCTAGAGCATCAGAATCATTTCAGCTCAGCCTTAGGCCTTTCCCAACCAACACCAACATGAGTGCTCACAAGGATGTGCCACATGAAGTACTGACGGGGTAGACAGCTGAGCTTTGGTAACTGCTCAGCATCATCTGTCGTTATCTTCTCTTCGCACTCAGTAGCCTACAGCTGCTGATCCTTATACCCATTCCTTTGGGAACCCATCTACCACTAGATGGTGGTAGAGCCCATCAACCACCATTGCCTTTATGTATCTCCTGGAAATGCTAATAATCATGTCGTCCCCAGTGCATGTGTTTTCTCGCTTTATATTTGGGTACGGATGCTCACTGCCTCACTCACAGTATTGCATAGATGTGCTTGGTTTCAGATGGATGTAACTGTCACAGAATCATAGAACCATTAAGGCTGGAAAAGATCACATCTAATCCAAACTCCAACCCATCCCTCAACCTTGCCCACTAACCCACATTGCCACATCCACATGTTTCTTGAACACCTCTAGGGACAGTGACTTGACCACCACCCTGGACAGCATATTCCAAAACCTGACCACTCTTTCAGAGAATACAATTTTGACAACATCCAACCTGAGCCTGGTACAACTTAAGGCCCTTACTCTCATCCTATTGCTGTTACCTGGCAGAAGAGGCCAACCACCACCTCACTACAACCTCCTTTCAGGGAGCTGCAAAGAGCAGTCTCCCTTGAGCCTCCTCCTCTCCAGACTCAACAACCCCAGTTCTCTCAGCTGCTCCCCATAACACTTGTGCTCCAAACCCTTCAGTTTTGTTGCCCTTATTTGTAGGTGAATGTGGCCGTCACTTGACCTCCTCTACTGAAATAGTGAATGACAAATAGCCACTGCTTCCTCAAAAAACTTCTGGTTTTCTAAAGAAGCTCTGTCTTGTTTTTTTTCCTGGACAAATTTCACATGGTTCCATGCGGTTTGTCAGCTTCATGCACTCCAAAAATAGAATCATAAATGTAGTAAAATTTATCTCATTCAGATTTCAAAAGTAAAATATCTGCAAGAAGCAGCAGAGAAACAGAGGCTCAGATAAATCTCATTTATCTTTCTAAAAAGGGAGAATAAAAGTCAATGAAACAAATAAAAAAAATAAAATATGGAAAATAAAAAGAGGTAGCAATAACTTCTGGATTTTCATTTTTGCATTTTTATGTATGCTGCTGAATACAATATAAATATATTGAACAGTTGCTGTTTTCTGACAGGACTTATATTTCAGGTCCTTTTGTAACACAGCAAGTCACTCCAGAGCAGGTAAGCGTGGTGGTGAAAAATTGTTTCTTGGGTGACTGCAGCCAACAGCCATATGCCTCATAAATCTGAGGTTAAATAAAACTCTTGGTGCTCTGCTGCAGCAAGGGAGTAACCCCACCTTCCAGAGGCACCACGTACTGCTACACCACACACGGTCAAGCCCAGCTCCACATCTGGCAGCTGTGAAGTGCTCTGTTCTTCAGCCATGATTAATTTACCCAGGATGTTAAATTGGCCCAGTGTTTTCAAAAGAGCTTGTCGTGGGTATGCAGCTGGTAGAGGGCATGTGTAGCCAGCGTAATACAGTGCAGCTCCATACTCTAGTGTCACCCACATGAAGCCAGCACACCTATATGGAACAGGGAAGTACACCGCCACCATACAGACCCAAAGTCCCCTTCATGGTACAGCCACACTTGAGCACGTATGAGGATTAGTTCAGCTCTGCATTGTACATGTATAGTTTCTTTCCCTTGGAGTGCAAGAGTCACAAAGATCTTCACAGTGCTGTATAAGGCAGCTCCCCACAGAGCTGGATGTGCTGCGTTCTCACAGTGGCAAAATGACTTCTCTCTGCTCTTTTGTGTAGCAAATGCAGGAGTAGCATCTGCTTTTTACCATTGTTACTGTGCACCAGTTATAACCAAGGAGACCCCTGTCAAAATGTACTTAGGATACAATTTATGCCTCAGATTGTTGACATACCTTGTCAAATAATGGCTTTATATCCCACTGATTTGATGTATGAAGTCAACCTGATTTATAAGTCATGCCACTTTGTATGCTATTGCATTCATTTAAGAGTCATCAAGCTGATTTATGCCTTGAGCTTTTGAATTATAAATCACACTGGTATTCTGCATTTCCTGTAACTTATTTGTAATCCAGCACTTTTTACATTGGTTGTAATCTTTGATTTACTAACTTGTCTATGAAAATGGGGGGAAAAAAACGATGACATGCATGATGAGCCCATGCCCTAGTCTATACTTGCAATGCACACTGCACCTTCAAAACCAGCCTGTTTCAGTGGCCGAGGCAAAACTACTCTAGTCCTATCTTTTGCATATCCACATCACACACAATCCCACAAGCCCTTCTGCAGTCCTGCTAAGGTCATTGCCTAATTTAAGCCAGTACTTCGGAGGCTGGACTTGTGTGACCCACTGATCCCCTACTGGTCTGATTGAACCTGATAGCCCCAGAGGACAAACAGCCAGCAGCCATTCACACAGGCTCAGGATGCACGAGCTGAGCCTAAGGTGTCTTCTTCTGGGATGAGCTATGTGTCCTTCTGAAACCCAGACATTGTTGATTAGGTTTCAGTGACTATTTTTCAAGCTTATTTTTAATCTGATACTTCTTACTTGAGGCACAGGGGTTCTTCCACCATATCAAGAACACAGCTTTGCTATGCTGGGAAAATCAATGTCTTGAGTATCCCCATATAAAATCTGAATTTACTCATCCCCCAAGCATGATGTGGCCATCAGTTTTTATCTCACAGAACCATGTGCTGTGGCCACTGGAATTATTGTGCTGTTCTGCAACCTTACATAGAAGCAATTAAGCACACAAAGAATGCCCTCACAAGGGATTAACCCCTCTTGTAGGGCAAAGACAGCTCAGCATCATTCTCTTGGACTTCTGCTCTGTTCCTCTGTTTCCACATGCTTCTTACTGCAAAATTTCAGCTGATCATGGGAGCTGAGGCCACTCACAGTTCCATGGTTATACAACTCTGTATGAATGCATTTCTGCTTGTTAAAACTCCATGCATTTAAAAGAGGTAAAGAGGTAATAGTCAACAGTCTAAAAGACAAAATAAAAGGAATGCTTGCATCAAATTCAGGTACAATTATCTTTCCTGAGTTTTCTATTTAACATAGATGTAAAGTTCAGCAGGTTGCTGGAGGTGAAGATCTCTCTTCCTCGTAATACTTCTTGGGAGCTAGGATGTGAAACAGGCATGCCTTTGCATAATGTATATTAACCCGTATATGAACTGAGATCTCTTCTGCTGTTGTACCCTGAGTCTCTATATTGGTCAGGTATCTACTTGCAGGAAAATGGGTTGTGTCACTCATTTTAGCTTTATCCATTATATTTTAGAATGAGTTGGGATATTTTAATGCCAACAGGTTACAAAAGCACGCTCAGCTATAACAACTCATGTTCAAAGCAATGAAAAGGAAACCTTTCTCATCAATAACAGCTGGGTATTTCTTTATACAAAATAACAAAATTGTTCATATGAGTAAGAAATGCCAAAGCCTTGAGGCAAGCACCCACTGCCCTTCTCCCACTGTGCACAGTGTGGGATGTGGCTCTCAGCCCTCCTAGAGCAGCCACGTTTTTTGACCACGCATGAGGGTAAGCACTGTTGGCAAAGCTACAGAAATATCTTTACAGAGGAACACGTTTAGTTCTGTATTTGAATCATGTGATTAACCATGCATGGGAGCACTGACCAAAAAATATAAGTGCCAAAATTTCTCTTCCAAAGAATGAAACTGCTGTTGAGGTATCATTATTGCTACTGCCATTTTCACTCCTACAGGCTGCTTCTGCGAATGCTTAGAGTATCAGGAGTTTGGAAGTAGAGAGACTCTGAGTGACACACACCAACCCTCTACATATTCCTGGGAAAGCAGGCACACTTAAGAAAAATACACAGCAGTAATGGCCTTGGTGTACATATCGTCCCTGTTGGTGCTGAGCATCCTGTGATGCTTTCCATGGGAGAGAGTGGCACACACTACATCTGCACAATGACCTCCAACTGTTTGCTGATGTTTTGGTATGATAGAGTCATAGAATATCCGGAATTGGAAGGGACCCATAACGATCATTGAGTCCAACTCCTGATTGTAAGCGTAGAATCATAGAATAACAGAATGGCTTAGGTTGGAGGGGATCTTAAAGCTCACCCAGCCCCACTCTGTTCCGTGGGCAGGGCTGCCCCCCACCAAGCAGGCTGCCCAGGGCTCCATCCAGCCTGGCTTTGATTTCCTCCAAGTATGGGGCACCACAGCTTCTCTGGGCAGATGTGCCAGCTTCTCACCACCCTCTGAGGAAAGAATCTCTTCCCAACATCTAACCTAAATCTCTCCTCTTTTAGTTTAAGGCCATTCCCGTTTGTCCTGTGTCTCTCAGTCCATCTGCCAATGCAGGGCCATGCTGAAGTTTTTTGAGTGGGAAACAACCGGTGAATTCAGAACATGACTGAGGAAGCCAGGAAAACAAACAAACAAACAAACAAACAAACAAACAAAAAAACTGGTTTCCAAAGGGAAGCCATACATACAAGCAATTACCAAGGAGGGGATTTCCAGAACAGAAAAATAGATAAAACAGAAGCAGCACTGACCCGGGTGGTTTCCCAGACACAATATTTTACTCTTCCTTTTTCTGCAGAAGTGTTTTGGGGTGGCTGTTGCTTCCAGGAGTTTTCTGATTGGTGTTGTCTAAAGCTTTCAATGAGAAGAAGAAAACTCTGAGTCACCTTTTATTACTTTAGGATATAAGAAGAAAATCTCTTCCCATCTCTGTCTCCGAAAGCTGGTATTTTGGGCTCCTTTTGGTTAGCTGCCAATGTCAGCATTTGTAGGAACAGCAGTGACATAAGAATAACTGCTCTGAAAGGTAAGCGACCTGGAGCAGATGTCCAAATACTTTCAAGATAAATTATTCAGCCAGAAGAAACATATCTGTCAGTGACTACACTGATAATTTTCATTCTCCACTCTTTGTTGAAGCACTGGTCTAGAAGTCACAGCTTGAGAAGCTCTGAGTAGAATTGCAAATTGTTGTCACAGTTGTCAGTGCTTCTCTTCTGTACTGGTATCTTGCTCTTCCCCTGCATAGTACTGAGTTTGACTTGGACTTTCTGAAATCAAAGGAATATGACTAGATGGTGTTCTACACAGTCTTCTAATTTTTTTTTAAACCAATAACCAGTTCAGTCTTGGTATAATGGCCAGCTTTGAACGAGCAAAGTCCTTAAGGAGCTAGAAACATGATTATTTCCCTACTTTGACCTCTGCATATACTCGCCTCTTGAGGTGGAGGCATTCCCTGGGAGCCATGTATTGACACAGACCTAAGATTTCCAAAAAAATGCATTATCCAACACACTGTTTCACCACCACCAATGCTGAGCTGGTGTTTATGGTTAAATAAATCAAGCTGGAAGCAGCTCTGCACACTCTTTTCTCTACCTTGGGCAGCTGCCTGCAGGTATCCTTGTTGTTCAGCTTTCTCGTATCTGTGCCCATGACAATGAGCACAAGAGAATTGGGTCATTCCCATATTTTGACACTTTTTTTTTTTCTAAATTTTATTCTAATTATTTTTTTTCTAAAGTATACCCACATCCCTAAAATAAAATTGCTGGAGGTATTCTGCTGAAGATGTTTGACTCTCATTCAACAAGTAAAACCAGAACCCATCCTTTGACTAATTTTCTTGGGGAAAAAAACAAAATATAATCATAAACTGTGTCATAAACCATTGCTTTAGGTTCTCAAATTCAGCTTGTTTTTAAATCCAAATAAATAGATCTGCCAGCCTTAGATACAGCATTTATTAACATATGTAAGAGGAATCTTTTTCTGTTTTTCCATTATAAACATTTTGCAGCATCTGCAGCAGTTTATGTTCATGTGAGAGCTATTAGGCAGGAGTGCCTTTCCATTGCCTCATAACATTTCCTTTACCTTTAATGCAATGCAGTGTTAAAAACCACCGTACTTTCCAGTCATATTTTTGTTGCTCTGATAGTTCTGGTATTATCAGGCAATGGTGACTGAACACCACGCATTTCCAAGGGAGGGTCTATGTCAGAATGTGCATCATGAAGCAGTCTTTAATTACAGTTACAGATGCACCACTACAAATGGATTGGGAAATTTGGCTATCTCTCTGCGAGTGACTAGTTTTCAGATGTTATCAATTTTCATCAGTCTGTAGGGGATGCTTTTTGAAATTCAGAGTCCAAAAATGCAATTAACAAAATTCCAGGAGCAAATTTTACAGAGTAAACACTTAATGCACGATATATTTCAACAAATAATCTGCATTCTTTCACAAGTCCATCACCAAAATACAAGACAATTGAGTAAAATGAAATATTTTACAGGCTGTGCCTTGCCAGGCCAAGAAAAACTGAAATGTATCCAATGCTTGCAAGCATCAATCGGTTTGCTCAGCTGTCACGGCCGCCATCATTGTGTTTTATAGGGCTGTAGCAAACATATTCCTATCAGTAGTGCTACTTCAATAAACAAACAAAAAAAGTGCTTATTGACATAAAAACCTGATTGAAGAATTGATACTGAGTTCTCAAAGCTGTCTGTAAATTCTGCGTGCGATAGGTTCGTGGTGATACTTCACCCTCCCGGCTGGATCCAGCAGGATGCCAACAGTTGGCAGCTATGCTTCAGCTGGGCTCCAAGCTCATTTTTGAGCTCGTTGCCTGCCAGAGCTGGAACATCTCGCTCAAAACATGCCATGTCACCAGTGGATGACAAGATGTTCCTTCCCACCTAGAAATAGTCATCCTTTCCTGCTGGCTGTGGTACAAGGTGATGAGAAAACAAGTTCAGCCACTAATATTTGCCACTGTGGTTATATCATTGACCTCAATGACACCGTTATCCCCTGAGTGGGCACCTGAGCATCGAAACCTAAAACACCCTGAAGACAGCACTGCCAGCCTAGGTCTTTAAGGCTACAATGATGGTGAAAGGCATAGCGGGGGAATATGTATGATGAGTAGCTGAGGTCCCCTGGTTTGCTCAGCACAGAGCAGAGGAGCTGAGGGAAGGCCTCGTGGGGGCTGCAGCTCCTCAGAAGGAGCGGAGGGGCAGCGCTGAGCTCTGATCTCTGTGGCAGCAAAGGGGCCCGAGGGAACGGCATGGAGCTGCGTCAGGGGAGGGGCAGCTGGGGGTCAGGGAAAGGGTCTGCAGCACAGGGCGTTCAGGTGGCACTGAGCCAGCCTTGAGGAGGCTCAGTGAGACCAGCCAGCCAAAAGATACCATCTCGCTACAGCTTTTAAAGCAGGATTTATTGGGATTTGGCACAAAATGTCGGTGCAAGGCAACTTGTCGGGTATGTAAGTCTTATTAGTGAACGACGCAAATTGTCAATACAAGTATTTAAACAGTCCTCTGTAGGGCAGGTCCCTCCCTCAGACAGCCGCACCCTGCCCCTCTCTCCCCCTGACCAGGCTCACTGCCCTTAGGCAGCAGCAGCCACCCCTCCCTGCACAGGATTCCTGTCCGACAGCACCTGCAGACCACATACAGCCTGCATTTCTTCTCCAATCTCTTGCTTTTGCAACAAGTGCTGTATCACAATGCTCTCTGGCCACTCAAAGCCATGCCCAGCATGCTGGATTCTTTCATATATCAGATCACTTATCTGTAGGTATCTCCTGCTCAGCTTCCCATTTCTTGCTCAGTGTAATACTTAGATAAGATGTTCCACTCATCATTATTGCTGTTAAAAGGTTGAGTCTTTAACTCCTATCAGCCCCTCTGACTGCTTGCCATCTGATTTAACAAGCCTCCTGACATGGGGGATTTAAATCCTCATTGTGTCTTCAGCCTATAACACTGTGTTTAAGATGACACAATCATTTTTAACAGCCAAGAATTCACTGGGAGGAAATCCCAGTATGTGTCCACAGTTGGCAATGACAAATTTTTACTTTAGCCATTAACAAATAATCAAAAATCTCTTATATACAAATGATAATGGTCATGGAAGAGACTCCTGTACCCAGAATAAAGAAATAGTGGTGAATTATCCCAAAGACGAATAAACTGGATTTACTGTATGTAAGTATGTGCAACTTCTCCTGGATGACTCCAGTGTCATGTATTGTACAGGTCAGAAGGGGAGGTGAGCTGAAACAAAAGATAAACAGCAACTGTAAATGAGGCATTTCCAGACTTGTGCTTACCGAGCCAAAGCTATTCTTTTTACCACATTGGTATGCAAATGTATTGAGTTAGCCCGACATTCTGCCTCCAGCACAAGAAAGATGTGGAGCTGTTGGAGTGGGTGCAGAGAAGGGCCTCAAAGGTAATCACAGGGCTGGAGCATCTCTCCTATGAGAAAGGTCGAGGGTTTTGAGTTTGTTCAGCTTGGAGAAGAGAAGGCTCTGGGGAAACATCATTGCATCCTTTCAGTACTTCAAGAGAACTTACAAGTGGGAGGGGTACCAAATTTTAAGTGGTCTAATAGTGATAGGATGAGGGGGAATGGCTTTAAACTAAAAGAAGGAAAATTCATATTAGATGTTAGGAAATAAATTCTTCTCTCAGAAGGAGGTGAGGCACTGGAACAGGTTGCCCAGAGAACTTGTGGATGTCCCATCCCTGGAGGCATGCAAGGCCAGATTGGATAGAGCCCTAGGCAACCTGATCCAAAGCCTGGTTTAGTGGTCCAACCTGGCAGGGGGATTGGAACTGGATGGGCTTTAAGGCTCTTTCCAACCTAAGCCATTCTATGGTTCTGTGACTTTCCTGAGGAAAAATCAGCTGATAAAACTTCTTTTTGCACCACTCAGCCAAGTTTCACACATCTCTGCTAAGTCTGAGCAGAATTTGGTGTGACAAAAAGAAGCTGCCAAATTTCATGAGGCGAACAATGCAAAATTGCCCAGTGTATATCTGTACTCTATCTGCATGAGTTTGTAGCCTTACAGCTACTGGAATGAATGCAGCACTCTGTCATTTGGTGTCTGCTGGCAGACTGAGGTATGTTTATGTGCAGCGGCACTTGTCTGCCCAGCTATGGCTGTCTAGGAAGGGAATAGCTTACATTCCCTGGAAAAACCCCAGTGATGATGTAGCTAGCTGCTACATGGAGATATCCTTCCAATAGTGTTGTCAGAGTACAGGAAAGAGCATCAAAGATTGCTTCATTCTCTGATGTGCATAGCCTGGATGAATGGAAAGAAAAGTTTCTCTTATGTAAACATGAATTAAGTATGGACAGAGGAGAGCATGTACCAGCACTAGATCCCAGTCGAGTGCAAAAGGCACTACTCATTCCAAATGTCCCCCCAATCCCTCCAGAAATGACACTGGGAAACGGTGGTCTGTAAGGCAATCCAGAAGGCAGCTTCTCCTTTCCATTATTGTCTCTTCCTTCAGGGGCCAGGAGAACCAAAATATACATCATTCTTCTCCAAGGCTTAATTAAAATAACAATGGCCCCAAGCCTGTGTGATCATGGGTAACAAAATACTCCATTCTGTACTTGACCCATTCACTTAAGCAGATGACAGTGATAGTTCTGATTTCTTTAGATAACTCTATGACTCCACATAGTTTTTTGTGAGTTTAACACAAAGACAGAAACTGAATTTGAGCCAGGTACATGAAATCATGAGAAGATGCTGTCTTGGTTGAATTCTTGTAGCAAGTGGCACCAAGTATGTCTGAAATGTTGGGCATGTTTATGAGGATATATGGAGTCGTCAGAGTGAGAAGCAAGAGGTTAAAGTGAGGTAGTGTGCTGGAAGGCCATTCCTAAAACTTTCCTATAGCTGTGTCTATGCTTTCTGTGAGGTTCAATGCCTTCAGTGACTTATTCTTATACAAAGCATGGTTAGTAGCATCACAGTTTCACTGATGAGACTATTTTGTGGATCAGGATCATAAAGAAGCCCTAATGAGTAAAACAGATGTAAAAACCAACCCTGCCTTCATGAATAGATTTTGGTTCCATTACTCACCCACAAAGCTGCAGAGTCTGTATTATTTGAATACACAAGGCAGCTTGAGAGTAAGGTTCTACCTGAAACACCTTGTCTTCTCTTTAAGGGTATGAAGGATCATGTGTAGCTTTCAAATATAGGTCCTTCCTGGAGTGTGGAAGAGTGGATCACAGGTCACTCACAAAGCTGTTATTTTGTGGTCTGAAGAAATAACCTTGTCTAAGTAAAACAAGTCTCATAAGGCAGAAAGGAAAGAAAGAAAGAAAAACATAACGCAAAGAGATGGTGTATGCAGTGTTCTAAAAGGAAACAAGGGATGTGTGTGTCTGAAAAAGACTTGGAAAGGGACTTGATAAAGCTGTCATTTTCCTAGAAAAGTCAACATGATGCAAAATTTGGGTAAATGATGTTTCTTTTTGTGAAATGTCAGTATTTGTAACAATAATACAATTGAGAGGAAATATCATGTTTATATCACTGAATTGGATAATCATGCCTTTGATTTTCTGCTTTTTATTTATTTATTTATTTATTTATTTATTGTATCTACTGTTTAATGGGAGAAACTGAACTGGGAACAGGTGACTTACTAAGTGGCTGAAAGTCCATCAGACAAAACAGAAAACCCAGGCTGGAATTTTGTAATAACTTTTTCCAAAAATTTCTAAAGAAATGTTCTTGGTAAGGCTCTGGGTATGTGTAAGAGTGCATTTTCAAATAGTCGTTCCCAGAAAGAGGTTGGAGATCTGGGAAGCGTAGTTACAGACACACAACAGCTATTCGTGTTGTTAATGCAGAGGATATCACAGATTCATGAGGAAACCCTGGAGCAAAACAGTTAATAATATCGTGTAAACATTTTCCATACAGAGGTCACATATGACTGACACACAGTACTACCGATTTGATAAAACACTTTTGTAGACTAAAACAACATAAGCCAGGCTGTCACTCATTTGAGCCTTAGCCTCAGGGCTTATTTAAGATATAGAAATGGAAACGAAGTGTATTTTAGTGATACTCTTTCATGTTTCTCTTCCCCTGGTGCTGGAAGGACTGGTAGGAGTTCAGTACATGTTGGAGGAAATTGTGGTACCTATTGGTGAATGACACTGCTATTTGTATTCTGTGCCCTACATGACCCAATCAATTCTCTGTTGTAATAAACACCACTGCCTGACTAAAGAATTTAACCTGAGAAATACTGAACCTGAAACAAATGTCATTTGACCTAGATGGATTTTTTTGTTTGTTTGTTCATTAAAATTGTTCATAAGGTTCCATTTCCCGAGGCAAGCCAAGGGTGAGAGAAAGCAAATATACGCATCTGAACATAATCCTTGATGATCTTATATTGAAATGTTTGTGCCATACATCTTAATTATCATGTTGTACTCAAACATTCAAATTAACAGTTCCAACAAGGTATATTCAGAAATATCAAGCCTTATTTAAAAAGACATTCTACGTATATTTCTACTGTATAAAGTACTTACATACTATATCAAGCAGTCTGCATCCACCTGGGAGCTAGAAATGATGTGTTTGCTCTTAAACTAAGAGCTTAGATCTTTTTGACAGCAGACTGTTTTTTTGTCTTCTCTTATCCTTTTTGTAAAAAAGCTTTAACTTTTTTTTACTTCAATTGAGTGGTTTTATTGCAGTTAGCTATCTGGATCAAGAGTTTCCTTGCTATTTCTGTTACAATCAGTTTCTCTGGATGTTTTTGCTCATTCAACATTTTGTTTAAGATAAGAACAGAATATTACTGAAACTGAGCTAGCTAGTGACTAAAACAAATGTATTTGTCCCAGTCCTTTCTAATGCCAGTATCTAGAAAGGTTCAGAACACTCCCATTTATATCAACTTGCAGACTGATTGGCTAACCTATCTTAGTGAAGGAAGTCTCAAGTCTGGCTGACTGGTATGTGAGCAAAATAAATACCTGCCACCTACTCCAGCATTCTAAGGAACCGTTAGTTGGAAAAACAAGCCCAGATGCATTCTAGAAGGCCAAAAAAAAAACCACCAAAACCTTCCCAGTGATAATGAAGTATATAATTAAAACTATCAGAAAATTACATTTGTAACTGGATAATGTATGGGACTATACTTCCTTAAGCCTAATTTTCAAATAACATCAGTACTTTCAAGCACCAAAGATGTATGGACAAGTCCTTTCCACACTGACACCACTAAGAGAGCAATGCTTACACCAGAAAAGGAGCCTCGGCTTTATAAGAATATTGAGATAACTCCCTCTCTGGATGAGCTCTCATTGATATTCTTGTCATCGCCTATCTAGACTCAGATCTCAAAGACAGATGTTTGGATGAAGAAGATGGAAATTGTTTCAGGCTTATAGTCGGAAATCAGGAAGTGTGATAAACAGAGAGCTATCAGCATTAACAGAGTGGGGAAACAGAAAACTCACGTACACAGAGATCTATTTTTCAAAAAAACAACAAGCCTTTTCAATCCTTAGCCTGTAATATTATACCACATTGTGGTTCTATACAAAGACTAAAAATGTAAAAAAAAAAAATACATATAGATAATTATACTATTCAAAGTTGTATTAATATATATTCTTTTAAAAGTTAATGAAATACAGATATGTATAACCTACAATTCTTTTAGGGTTGATTAATAGGCATTTTTAATACAAATTTCATGTGGTTTTGGAAAAAAAGAGTTGGCTTTCACTCATAAAAACAATGGTATCTTGCAACAACTCTCCAGACAAAATAAACCTGTGAAATGAATAGCTGTTCTTATTTAAAAGGACCAACTGATAGCCTAGAGCAGTAATAAAAGTATATACCGCATCATTTTTCACTTGTTGCTCATCCAAAAAGATCTCCAGTTCACACAGAGTCGTTGAGAATCAGACAGGATTCTAAAGATCAGTCAAAGCCTAGTATGCTTCATTAGTAGAGTTTAGGAAGCAGTAATTAAAAGCATGCAAGTTGTAATACACTGCTGCAGGATTAAGCAGAATGACGGATGTCATTATGTTACTTTCAGAAAAATTCCACTTTCTTTCAATACTGGTATAAATCTGCAGTAATTCTCATTGCTTGAATATAGCAGCTCAAGTTGGATGATAGTAGAGAATAAAATTTAGGCCATTGTCTTTTATCACTATTCACATCTCCTGGCCATCAATCCCAGTGCTTTTTTTTCAAAAGTAGTAACATCAAAAGAAGTGATCACTGTCCATATATAGTACTGCTAAACCAAGGACTTTTTTGTGTATGTGATTATGCAGTATCAGTCTTTGTAATGTATAAATGAAAGCTACAAACCACAGAAAGGAGACTTCTTCTAGGTATCTATTCATATTTGTTATTAAACTTCCTCCAGTATTAGACAGCCATTTATTTCTGAGAAAATACAAGGTCCATATCCACTGGAAATATGTTTGCTAACAGACCAGATGGAACAGGATAAACATTAATTATGTAATTGTTAAACTCCACGTGGATCAGCTAAGCTGCAATTTGTCATTCTGGTTTTGAATAGTTCATGGTAATGTCTCTGATTACATAAATTGATGCTAGCTCTCACATTAATGGCATTTTTACTTTGGAGCAATAAAGGACAAGAAAGGATTTTCTCTCTAGAATCTTTTAGGGGCAGGTTTTCTACTGAAACACTGTTTTCCTAGAAAAATTTTTACAGGAGATTTAAATTGAAATGATATATATATACTTTTTTTTTTTTCCAGAAAAAAAAAGCCTGTAATTGATTTTACTACTCTTAGTTTGAATAATTCTTTCCTTTATCTAAAATGCAGGAACACATTTACATCTATGGTTGACTTAGGCACAAAACTACTCTGAGCTTTCTCTCCAAAACAGAGCTGCTTTCTGCCTACATTACTTACTGTCTTCCCATCCTTCTTAAAAGATTTACTCAGTACCACAATCAACTGCCGACCATTAAGTTACTAACATTAGTATTCTTGGTAGATTGTTATGTTGTCCTGCTCAAAAGTGCCACACAGAAATAAAAAATACAGAGTAGGAGAAAACATGTTACTCTGTATATATATGCTGGTGGAAAATGTGTTGTTACCCACAGCCATGAGGCCTTTCGAAGTCTGTCATCATGGCTGACAAAGTCAAAGGAGGCTGTATAGAAGACTGTAATTTGTTTTAAATATACTAGTTTTCTGAAATTGTTGTAATGTTGTTACAATAACTACTGATCTAACAGATTTTTGAAGTTGCCCAATCAGTACTTGCAAGTCTCCACTTCACTCTAATGCAGAACTTATATTTTACTGTAAGAAATCTCCTTGCTCTTTTGGGTTCTCCCCTTGATTCCCCTGCCTGCACCTGATCTGAAAACGAAGATGCATGAAGATGCATGTGGGAAGAAGAACAACGTTACTGTGTTTTGGGTTACGCTTTAAAAAGAATGAAAAATTAATGTAATAAAAAAATCAACTCTTTCCTGAAGTTTTTAAGTTCCAGAACTCCATAACCTGGAGGAGCAGATCTCAAACTGCAGTGAGAGCAGAATGCACTTCAGTAATAAGTCTGTGAATGAATAAGTCCATGAGATGAAGAGTAAAAAAATCACAAAGACCACATTTCCTTTATGATAAAGAGAGACAGTGACACTGCACTGTCATTTGCAGTGCATAATTTGGAGATGGCTCAAAGCTTCAAAAACTTATTCAGAAGCTCCAGAAAATGCCTGTGAGAGAGAAAGAGTGAGACTCTGAGTCTCTTTAACTTATCAAAGAAGACTGAGGAGAAATAATTACAGAATGCAATTATCTCCATGAGGGAAAACCACTAACGCAAGGATTAAGCAGCTTTTAAACTGGCAGTGAAAAGTGAAATGAGAACTAAAGGCTGAAATCGAAACCCTGACAAATCTGTGTTACTAAATAGGCAGAATAATTTAATGGGTATAGTAGTTTACCTCTGAAACACAGCAATAGAGAAAGTAGCAGGTTATCCATCTCTCCTGGTCTTCAAATTAGCTATCCTGCACTAAAACATGAAGGAACTATGGTTTCTTAATGAAGCAATTATAAAAGAAATGTTAGCAGGTACGAAACAGGCTTCTTGTAATCTCCCTCTGTGAAATGACCAGACTGCTTCAGGGGAAAGTCAAATGTATACAAACACAAAACCAGCTTGGAAGAGGCTCCTTAAAGCACAAATTTTGCAAGGCTGTGGACAAATCAAATCAGACCTTAAATATAAGGAGAAGTACAAGTTCATTTTTTACAAATAACTTTCAGGTTTTACTGTTCTACACAGAAGCTCAGGCAAAAAGGATTTCCACAGCCCAGAGTATTCAGCAAAAACTACTGACGTTGCTGAGGTGATCGTTTTCAAATATGTACAAAATGACTGCAGCTTCATATCCATATTCCTACGTTAGTTGAACAGTCTTGATTAAAATTTCAAAAGAAAATAAGATTTTAGATTCAAAAAAGAAATGTTAATCTTCATGGAGGCATTAATCTTTTTTGAACATTAAGACAATTTCCTAGTATATTGATTGAAATAGAAAGCAATTATACAGATTGAGAAGATATTTTTAAATAGTGGAAATACATCAGATTTTGAAAACTAGTTAATTTTTGAAAACTTTTTTTTTCCTGACTTTTTTCACGTAGCTTTAAAATGCAAAAATCAGAGACTGGTCTGATCCAGAGTCAGACACAGCCACTTACAGGTACTAATGTGCATTCGTACACATGGGTCAGATGCAAGTAGCAGAGTTTGGCTTCATGTTTGCAAATTGCATTTTTTTCTTTTTTTGTTTCCCTAAAATTCAGCTGTTATAATGTAAACCTTATTAGATTTTCTCCTTATTATTAACCTGGAGGTCCTCCAGCCTCCTCCCTGCTCCCTTTCTTATTCATTTTTATACTTCTAACCTGATGCAATCTGCCTGCAGGGGCAAATACAGTTATCTCCTTCTAAATTAAAATTGTAACTCATTTGGTACAGTTTACACAAGGCCTCAGCTTTGACACATGCAATTACATTGAACATAAGAGGAACATGATTGCTGAGAGCCACCAGAAATAGAGTTTAATCAGAGAACATGGACTTGTTCCAACAAATTTATAATTTCTCCACTTGCTATTCTTTTATGTTCCTGGGTGTTCAGATAATTAGAAACACTGGTTTCTTTGCTTCCCAAGAGGCCAAGGAAAGCAAAATTCCTTCTTTTACATTAACAAGATAAATTTATAA